TGATGTCACATTGATCATTCAGTAACGAGTTATATTGTGTTCATGCAATTGCCATTTTGGTTAAGTAATAATCTCTGAAATGTGTTATATATAGGTGTTAATTTATAGGGTTTCATATCTAAATTATTTCCTTAGTTTATTTGGGCGGTGGGGTAGCCTAGTGGTTACAGCGTTCGCTCTTCACGCCAAAAAAAAGAATGTGTGAAGCCCATTTCTGGTGTCCCCCGCCGTGATATTGCTGGAATATTACTAAAAGCGGCGTGAAAGAAACTCACTCACTTTAGTTTATTTATGTTGCTGAAGTGAAAACAAAATGTAACTGAATGTCTGACACGTCAGTGTTGAAATGTGACATTAAACGTCAGCGCCAGAGAATACCCTGTCTATACTGTCCTGTGAAACAGATTACATTTGGCGTAAAGAGCAAAACAGAATGATCACATTTGAAATCGATAGCCTACAGAGTGAGTATAGCTCGTCAGTGAGTGAGTGGGATATGTAACTGATATGTTTGATCACTGTCAAGTATATGATAACTTTCATAACCTTTACTGATGCCACATTTTCTTTGATGTTTCCAGGCAACCAGACAGGACGACAATGCGGTTACCCGCCTCCTTCTTGGCGCTTGCCGCATCACTGCTGCTGGCTGGTGCTCAAAACTCTGGACCATGTGAGTACACCTTGTTATTACTTGTGACTTAATCTTACTATGTGAGTACACCTTGTTATTACTTGTGACTTAATCTTAACTATGTGAGTACACCTTGTTATTACTTGTGACTTAATCTAACTATGTGAGTACACCTTGTTATTACTTGTGACTTAATCTAACTATGTGAGTACACCTTGTTATTACATGTGACGTAATCTAACTATGTGAGTACACCTTGTTATTACTTGTGACTTAATCTAACTATGTGAGTACACCTTGTTATTACTTGTGACTTAATCTAACTATGTGAGTACACCTTGTTATTACTTGTGATGTAATCTATCTATGTGAGTACACCTTGTTATTACATTGTGACGTAATCTAACTATGTGAGTACACCTTGTTATTACTTGTGACGTAATCTAACTATGTGAGTGCACCTTGTTATTGCCTGTGACATAAACTAAGTATCTGATAGCCGAGTTAATAACAACACAAGTACAACCCGATCTGCACAGACGCCATGACGTCAGAACGTTTGATGATTGGTCATATGGTCGCCTGGCAAGGTACCACAGTAAACTATCGTAGCCACAATGCACCGGCATTTCATCGACCATTGATCTTGTTTTCTCGACTCACCGGGGTCCAATTCCCCACATGGTTGTGTGAGCGTTTTCTGTACTGTGTGTTCCCTCTTAGATATTGGTCACTATTCACAGTTAGCCAAATTACCCACCCTCTTTAACATGTTAGACGTCACGACACCATTCGGTGCACTCAATAAGTAATGCCACGTCAAATGAGTACCAACACAATATCACTGAACACAAACACAAGAACTGTAGAATTAAGGAATAAGTTTAATTCCAGATTTTGATTTCCGTAAAGCTGCTTGCCAGGAGAGAACGTCTCCACGCGATATTACGTCTAGAGATTGATATACAACCTGGTGTCATCTAATGGACGATCTCGAAAACTTTAAACACATCGTTAATAGGCCAGGCACAATGACGACATACCAAGTCGGAAATATTACACAGATACTCATAGACGAATGTATTGAGGATACGGAGACCACAGAAGGAGGAGGCGTTCAGATTCATAAATACTTTCAAATAACAGAACGTGAGGTATATGACAAAATGATCTTTCTTAAATACTAAGCAAATAATATACTGGCGTGACGTGTATCTCACCACGACCACGGCTTGATGTCCTGAGTGCGGAAAGTGAGGGCATATCGGTGGCCAAGACGTTGTCGATGGCCAAGACGTTGTCGATTGCCTCAATGGTGTCGGTGACCTTGGCGTCGGTCTAAGAACATGTTTGCTGAACACTAAAGTTGTAGGTCGGCAAAACCTGATGGATGGACCACATACCACTGTCACAATAACGTCACATTTTCACTGACATCTTCCACTGGCAAACTACTTCCTAAATGAAAAAACAACAACGGTGCTCAGGTCCTTCTGTGACAAGAGTTCAAGGCTTATGCTGGGTTACGTTCTGACGCTGAATCCAGACGGTCGCGTGTCTTCTCGTTCTTCCCAAGTCACAAAGTCTTTCAATATTGCAAGGTTTCATCTGAGTCGGTGGCCTCGTCGGTACCGATTCGAACCAAGCCGTTTTCAGAATCCAGATCTCTCAACTTTACATCTGTTCGGCTGAAGGTGGGCAAACTGTCTCCACCACGTTTACCGAACCTTGCCAGTTTCAGTAGATAGTTTCTTTGGCAGAATTTGACCAGACACCAATCGATAGCCTCTGTCGCCAGCGACGTGCACAGCTTGGTACACATTGGTACAGTAGTTTCATCTGACGGCACCAACAGCAACATCACGGCGAGAAAGACGGTGCACTGCATGGTTGCTGAATAAACCTTTGCCTGCTGACTTCGAGTCCAACTGTCTGTCCACCAGTATATGGCGTTTATATACCCTGCGTGTGTTAGTTACATGCTCTCTCATTAACCTCACTGTCATTGTCCACGGAGGTCTCACATATGTCTAATTAGTTCCCTTAAAGGCGGAAATAAGCATCTGGCGACATCCATGTGAAAAGTAATAAACGTCTGATTAATAGTAATCAATAACGCTGCATCATTGAGGTTTACAAAGAACAAAGAAATGGTCATAATTAAAAAAAGGTGCCCTTTACCGGAAGCCCGGATGCCCAAGTCGTCTATAGCGCAATGCATCGCTGAATTGCGTCCCGCGAAACATTAGAAACCTATTGTTGCGTTCCTACCTTTAACCAAAGCGTTTAACGCACGTGATCTCCATTACTTCGGGTTTTCTTCCCTCATTTACCAATACTGGAATGCTGCGTCAAAGTGGCGTTAAACAATTTCCACTCACTAAGTCACGTACTCACACACACCTTTTCTTCAAACAAATAAATGCCTTATAATGACTTGAACTTAATACTCAGATCCTTGAGAAGGAAGCCTTGCGTGACACACGCGGATACGTCGACGTCACGACCTATGTTAATCTGCTGTTTGTCATAACATACCATGCATATATGCTTCTCACCATTTGGTTGTAGTCACCTTTAGCTTGATAACGATGTAAGAATCTACATCGAAACGTCGTTCTATGCAATAAATAAGAAGTTGTCATCCATTAAGGTGAATTTAGCCTTTTGCTGTTTGCAGATTTTTGACATTTATATTTTTTCATAATTTCCATTGAAACGATTTGGACTTAGTCTAAAACAAATCAAGTTGGACTTTAAATAACTGTCATCTTCTGATGACCCTTGATGAATATGGCCTCGGCAGCGCGAGGCATTTTACGAGTGTTTCAGTCATTTTATTACTCTGACAACTGTGGACAATCAATCTCTTCTGCCACATTACAGGAACAATGTAGACAACATCTGATACAAATATGTCTTTTTTCATTTCTCCAGCATGTAGTGACAGAATGGACATCGTTCTAGTCATCGATGGCTCAGAAAGCATTGGCTCAAGCAACTTTCAGAAAGTTAGATCAGCTACGGAGACCTTCGCACGACAAGCTTTCAACCGCATACAGAATCTCAGATTAGGTTTTGTCGTCTATGGTACAACTATAGAACAAAACCTGTACCCTTCCAGCGACAGACAAACAGTAATTCCGGCTCTCACAAACCTTGCCTACCCACAGAATGGTGCTACCTACACCGACCTTGGCATAAACACTGCTAGGGGGCTTTTAAACACCACTAGCAACATCCGAGCCATGGTGGTCCTCACTGACGGTCTGTCCAACTTCCCCGAAGACACTGAAGCTGCTGCAGATGCGGCCAAGGCTGAGGGAATCACAATGTACAGTGTAGGAGTTACCCTGGACAGCATTCTGTTTCCTCAACGCGTAATTGACGCTTACACTAGGGAACTGGACCGTATCGCTTCATCGCCACAAAACAGATTGTCCATCGACAACTTTGACCAGCTATCTGTACTGGCTAGTGGGCTCCTGAATCAAGTTTGCGTCACACAATGTAAGTATCAGGTAGAAATGTAATTGTGGTACAGTTCAGATTTTTCTACAGGAAACTATTAAATAATTCAGCTTCACCTGATGAAGGAGTAAGGATATACCCCGAAACGTTGTGTTCCTCGTAATAAAGTTGACATACACTCTTCCGTATGTGCACCGCTTCTAAATGCCATTCAAAGACCTGGCCCCGTTCCTGAAAGCGATTGTAGTGCTACGACTGTTGTAAGTCTATGTGAAAGTATGGGAGTTACGATCATCTTAGCGCTACAACCGCTTTGTGGAAAGGGGCCCTGAACTTCATAAAATCATTAAATACCGGATTGCATTATCATTGACTTGAATATCAACTTCCAGAGTGTACTTGTCTCACTATTTTGACCCGTGAAGATTCGGGTTAGAATTGATCTTCAGTAACTCATGCCTGTCCTAAGAGGCGACTAAGGGGATCGGGTGGCCAGGCTCGCTGACTGGGTTGACACATGTCATCGTATCGCAATTGCGTAGATATGTGTTCATTCTGTTGATCACTGGATTGTCTGGTCCAGACTTGATTATTTACAGACCGCCGCCATATAGCTTGACTATTGCTGAGTGCGGCGTAAAACTAAACTCACTCACTCACTTACTATTACGACTTTCTCATGATGCTGATGCCTTATGTTTCAGTGACGGTCTCTACGGGTCTTGTTGACCAGACCATCCTTGTTGGAGACACGATCAACCTTGTCGCCATCATGAGCGAGTCGGGTCTGCAGGATGTTCTCTGGTTCAAAGGAAACATCCGCGTACCCAGTGATCCCAGGATTACTTTCACCAGTTCTGGATTCGAACATCGACTAACTATTACCAATGCGCAGCTTGGTGATGCAGGCACCTATAGGCTCACGATCAACGGAGTTAGCACGGATGCACAAGTCTTTGTGCAGGGAAATTCAAGTATGTTCTTTAAAAATGACACATCGCTGGTCTCTCTTATCATCTTTAAGAAAGTAAATATAGTACGTAATGTTATGGCACAAATGTACATTTTGTACGTTGAATAAGCAACCATGTCACTTCATGTACCTGTGTTATACTGAACACTAATCTGAAAATCCTTAGAACAAATTACTGACTCTTTTTCATCATGAAAGTTTGGCCTACATGAACATGTTATTTTGGACCATCACCTATTGTCATCTACTTTATCATTTTTCAGATACTGGATCAAGCGCAGGTAAATTTTCTTCTCGAAAGAAATGAGACATTATTTGACTTAATCCCAGGAAATGAACTAGTTTGATCATTAAGCCACGGTCAGTTTCACGCTTCACGAAATAACACTGTTTGAAATATACAAATAGTCATTTCTTTACACTCACAAGAATTATTCCTTCTGAAACGCTTCATATTAACATTTGTTTGTTGAGGAAAACTGATGTTATTTGAAAATATATTTTTTGTTACTTTTTTGTACTCGATTAGAAACATATTTCGTATGTCATAGATATGTACATCACATGTTTTGTAGATATGTCCATGCTGATCACATGTTTTGTAGATATGTCCATGATGATCACATGTTTTGTAGATATGTACATGATGATCACATGTTTTGTAGATATGTACATGATGATCACATGTTTTGTAGATATCTATATGCTGAGCAAGTTTTCCTTGTTTGTTCTAGTCTGCCGCGACAATATTGATGTGTTCCTGGCTATCGATGGATCAAACAGCATCAACCCCGACCCCTTCGAGTTCGAGCTTTTACCTGCAGTCGTATCGTTTGTGGATGAAATGTTCAACAGAACCAATGGTGACCTTCGTATGGGCTACGTCCTCTACAGCAGTGTCATCAACAACGAGGTGAACCTGACAAGAAGTGAAGCTCTGCTCCGCAATTCTCTACTGGCTGAGAACTATCCCAATGGGCTGACAAGCACCCATCTTGCTCTTAACCGCATCAAGGATCTCATTGACGCTCAGACCACCGACGCTTCCAAGGTCGTCATGGTAATTACAGATGGTGCTTCTGATAACAGAGCGGCAACAGCACAGGCAGCGTCGGACTTGAAGGCGAGGGGAGTGCAGATCATTGCGGTCGGAGTGGGTGACCTCATTAACCAAGACGAGCTCCGTGGCCTAGCATCCTCTTCCGATATGGTCATCCTTGTGGACGACTTCAGGAACTTGGCGACACAGCTATTAAATATCACAAGCCAGTGTAACGGTATGTCTAGTTCAGATAGATATAGTTGTATCTGTACAAGACTGGCGCTCAGCACCTCATGCTCGTCGTAAGATACGACTAAAGGAGCAGGGACCCGTTTCACAAAGCAATCGTAGCGCTACGACTGTCGTAAGTCTATGTTAAAGTATGGGAGTTACGATCTCTTTAGCGCTACGATTGCTTTGTGAAACGGGGCCCAGGTGCCTAGGCTCGCTGAGTTGGTTCATGGATGTTATCGTATCCCAGTTGTGTTGAACGGTGCTCATTATGTCAATCAGTGGATTTACATTCCCCTGCTCCGGAAGCTGCATATAGCTTGAACATTGCGCAGCAAATGAGATAATGGAATAATGTCTTTTTCTTTTCTGACCACAATACAAAGTTATTACAAGCATAACCAACTGGAACGATAAACATACAATTAAACATGATTTTCAGTATTTTGTGCATATTAGAAATATAAATTGGCAAACTGGCAATCTGAAAATGGTGAATATTTCCTGCGAGCAGGTGTGTTCTCCAGCTGGACGGAACAACGTCGTACTCCATGTTCAATGCCCTGTGGTGGAGGAACTCAGACCGTGACGAGGACACGGACCTGTTCTGGAGGAACTTGTGTGGGACCAACCACAGAAAATCTCTCTGTCAGCTGTAATACTGGCTCATGTACATGTAAGTGTGAACAAATGCCGTACGAAAACATGTAAGAATTTGCAATCTTAACATTTTAATTAAAATATATATACTGTTGTTTTAGTACTTCAGCGTTTTGTCGACATCGCGGTCTTTGAGGGAGACTCCTTTGAATTGATGGCCGTCTTTGGTGAGGCAAATATTCCTGGAGCTACATGGACGAAAGAAGGAACTGCAATATTCAATGGTGGCAGGTTCTCAACCTCGGGGATAGGATTCAATCAGGTCCTCAGAGTGACCAACACTCAGCTGAATGATGCAGGACAGTATACACTGTCGGTAGGTGGAGTGACCACAGTCGCCCGAGTCACTGTCCTTCAAAGACAAGGTCAGTTTTCTTTAAAATGTGCTAGATTAGTCACACTGTGTATTGGCCGACATACATGGGCTTGCACTGCAGCCAAAAAACATCAAGATATATATTCTCACTACCAGGGAATAACACTATATGTAATAATCAACACGTTCAAGGACGAATATAATATCCATTTCCAGCCAGCAGATTAAGCTGCAAAATGAGACACTGATCACACAAAATAGAAACCATGCTTTTGGAAGTAGGTCTTCAAAAGCTCTGGAAATCGTGACTTTTCGATTCCATGTCAAAATCCCAGCTCAGAATTTACCGCTAACTTTACCGCGCGTACAGAAACGCCACTCACCAAAACACGCTGACTCGATGGCACTTGTCAGCGCTCTAACCACAAATCTTTATGGAACACTTAACCTTAACTCCCATAAGGAGGTTGTCTACATTTATTTATTCATCTCAATCGGGCCTTTGTCGAGTCTTGTCGTCCTTGACGACCTTGACCTTAACCTACTTTGCACCGAAAAAGAGCTAGCAATCTGATTAGCTATGTAATATACCCTCGTCACACCCCTTTCCTTCTTATATAGTGCTAAGAGCCCGGTACTGACAATATATACCGTGATGCTAGATTTGCGTCACAAGACCTCAAGAGATGACATTCTTTCCAAATGGCATGAGAGAAGTCCTTGGTTTTGTACATGGACAAAGTAGCACGCCTTTAAATGACCACCAGTTGAAAGTGTATTACGTTCTCAATGAAGATTGCTGTGTCCACTCTAAACTCTCTAAAACGTGTATTTCTGATATTCATTGAAAGACCTATAGAAATCTATGGTTATGGATAAATGAGGACATAAATGATGGAAACGTAAACAATATCAGTATTAAAGCGTATGGAAGTGTATCGTCAAATGGAAATATCTTCCGATATTCTAACCATAAGCAAGTTGAGCTGTCCAGCTTGTACCCTCCAATCATATGTGTAGCTCTCATATCCTCTCTTAAGGAACATACCATAAATCTCTCGTAAAGGACACTGTAGTTGTCAAACAAAAAACCCTGTGTATTTTCACAATGCTTGGTTTAATTATCTATCTTAATGGATCTAGTTGTCTATATCTGGCATATAATTCGATTTTCTCACCAAACGACTTTGTATACCTTGAAACAACCTAAAGAAGACTGGGGATCTTGTGTCAAGTGATTATATACGACTATTGTTGCCACAAGTCTTGTCACCTTACCCATCTATATATGCAGCTAGTTAAACTACTGCTTGTTGTCACCTTACCCACCTATATATGCAGCTAGTTAAACTACTGCTTGTTGTCACCTTACCCATCTATATATGCAACTAGTTAAACTACTACTTGTTGATGTCATCAGGAGTGTTCACAGGCTGGACTGAAATCAGTCGGTCAGCTTGTTCGGCTCCGTGTAACGGGGGCACCCAGACCGTCGAGAGGACCCGGACCTGCCAGAGTGGAATATGTTCTGGACCGACGAGGGAAACCATCACAGTCGACTGCAACGTCGCGCCTTGTACCAGTGAGTGCACACACTTTGTCTCTGTTTCTTGGCGCTGTTTAGTTGCATTGCTTAATAAACATAATCCATCTTTTTTTGATAGTTCATTCCTTGTGCATCTGTTGTGGGACATATCTTTACATATTAAAATGATGTCAGGTTTTATCGTATTTTGATTTAATATCCATAATAAACACACATAACTATGATAATAAAATTCCTCACATTGATATACATGCCTGTTTGACATTTTGTTTATTCAATAGAGCACAGCTGTCGCTTGTTTGACTATGACAACCTACTGGGTAGTGGGGCTGTACCTTTGTTATAACCTTCCCAGTAGCATGTTTCCTAACTGAACGGTCACATTGACATTGACCTAATTCCAGTCACGCAGAGATTGATCAACATCCAAGTTGCCGAGGGAGACAGCTTCGGTTTGACAGCTGTGTTTCGCGAGGCCAATATACCCGGCGCCCGATGGACAAAGGAGGGTAGTGTGGTGGTCAGCGGTGGCAGGTTCTCAATCTCAACCACGGGTACAGATCAAACCCTTTTAGTGACCAGCTCGCAGCTAGGGGACGCGGGCGAGTACCTCCTCTCTGTTGGGGGAGTGACCACCTTGGCCAGAGTGACAGTCGTGCCACGACAAAGTGAGTGTACAAACACCCATACCTCCACAATGTAAGCGTATTTGTAATCATTCTTTACCATCTTGATTTGCAAAACTGCTTTTGTTTGTTTTATGCATTTCATATTTTCATATATTTGTTGTTGCAGCCACACCAAGAGCAGGTATGTGAAATCTTGCTTCAGTACTCTTCATAAAAACCCGTATAGTAGGGGCAGTATTACCACTCACACGAATTGTAGAGGGATATACTCTCATTTGGGTGGATAAAATAACATTGTCAGCGTCCCATGTCGTAGTGGGCTCGTTGGTCAACGGAGTCCAGAACAACGCGAATTGGCTGTAACCATATTTTAATCAAAACATTGTTACACCTATTTTCAATATACAATATGCAAGTGTTGTAAATGTTTCCTGAAACAGTCTATATACTGAACACAACATAATTAAAATGCAATCAGAACAGATATCACCAATTGATATTATATTGAAATTAGTGAAGTAAATATTGCATCTCTTTCTGAACAGTTTGTCAAGGAACCCTTGACATCTTCCTGGCTATTGATGGGTCAAACAGCATCAATCCCGACCCGTTCGAGTTCGACCTTCTGCCAGCTCTGGGCGCCTTCATTGGTGAAATGTTCCAGCGCACGACTGACCTACGTATGGGTTACGTTCTGTACAGTACAGCTCTCAGAGGAGAACTAGATCTCACAGCCAACAGTACCGTCCTTAGTCAATCAGTGGCAAGTCTTCCTTACCCCAATGGCCTCACCAATACGCATTTGGCTCTAAACAGAATCAGCGCTCTATTCTCTGCAAACGAAAGAAATGCAGCCAAAGTTGTCATCATCATTACTGATGGAGAATCCGAGGATCTGGCTGCAACAGCTGCTGCAGCTGCAGCCTTAAAGAATAACGGTGTCCAGGTGATGGCGGTGGGTGTGGGTGACCTCATCAACTTGGCAGAACTGGCCAATCTGGCGTCATCTCCTAACAATGTGGTCCTCGTGTCAAACTTCGCACAACTTGCTACACAGCTCGTCAACATCACCAGCCAGTGCAGCGGAGGTATTGACTGGCCTTTGCGTGTATTTTGTACTAGTCCAAAGGGTTGGGGAGAATGTGCTCACCCTTTAAGACACGCATTGTGTCATCACTGTTTAATAGTGATCTGTACAAACCTGGAAATGGGTTTTGTGCTTCTAATAAATTTTTTAGAAATATAAATATAAAGGACCATCGTTGTTTAATACAGGTTCGACATAATTATTGAACAGGTTTTCGTCTCTCATATTCAAATTCCTTTAACGTGAATCTGAACAACATGGGTAGACAGTGACATCGTACAGTCTGAACTTACTGACACTT